CAGCGATTTTTAAAATTTCGTATCTCGATAACTATTCGTCCAAGCGCAAAATAGTACAATACTTTTCTGTTTGTCTTAGTCCCCTCTACCTTCCCATGACCGGAAGTCAATATGTTGCGTAGCACCCTGTATATTAGTTTTGTAGCAAAATACATAAACAATTTCTGCTGCAATACATAAAAATATCCCTCTAGAACACACTTTGCCTATATTTTACGTGTTAAAATTCATAACTTTGACATTGAATATCTCGACTTTGGTACCGGTAGGGTTCTTAGAATTGAGCAGGTGTATTGATAACACTATTAATAGTATATAGTCCAAATTTGAATCAAATATATAGAAAATCGATTAGCTCGTGAACATCCTTAAAGGAAATAAGCTAACCTGTAACAAAATCTGTGCAATAAATAACTTAAAAAAATATATATATTTCTTCGTAGTTTGTCTGAAACTACGAATCTAACTACGAAATAAATCGATCGGAAATTATTAAACTGTGTCCAAACTCTTACTTGGGGAAAGTAAGCCTCTATACGGAGAGAATTTTCTCTGAAAATGTGTCCTGAAAATTATGTAATCGTGGGATAACACGAAATTTTGAAGAATCTTATGAGAGTTTTGAGAAATACATTTATTATTATACATTTTACTAACAAAATGTATATTAAGTATAATTACTAGTAAAATGTATGGTAAAATTTCAAAAGCTCCAATAAAGTTTCTTAAAATACCGTGTCCTACGATCGCATGATTTTCAGGATGAATTTTAAGATTCCCTTCATGTAGCGGTTAGTCCGATAGAAAGCAAAGGCGCGTAAACAATTACCATATTAATCAAGATTTCTTGTACGTTTGCTTGTAGAACCCTTCTCAGAATGGCTGGAGGAAAAGATAGACCTGCCCATATTTGAAAATATAGAAACCCCTTACGAAAGCATCCAAAGCAAACCGTCGCCAATCGCCTATCCATTTATCGCGAAGGTGTCGCAGCAGCAACAGCAGCAGCAGCAGCAGCAACAACAGCAGCAGCAGCAGCAACAGCATACCACGGATGCCTTCATAGATTTCGATTCGATTTATTGCAACGTCAAGGCCTACCACCAGACTATTCTACCGAACAGTTCGACACTCACACCCCCGCAATCACCCTTGCATAAAACAATCAATGTGGACACCCAGCTGCTGGTCACCCTGCAGCCCGTGCAGCCGCTTACCGGTGATCAACCGATATACATCGGTCCATCGGAGGAGCCGCTGTACGCGAGCAACACGCTGCATCAGTGGAACGCCGAAGACATATCACTGAGTCCGCTCGGCGAAGACGAATTGGCCGTGGCAGACGAGTATGTTCGTTCGCACACCAAGGATATTCCATCTCCCTCGAGTCCATGCAGTTCTGGCGGCAGTTGCATCTCTGCCGACGACTCCACCGATGATCCCGATTGGAGTCTCGAAACTGAGAAAAAAAGCTTGAAGCAAACGGTTCACGACTCTTCCAAGCATCGCTACAAGCCGTACTCTCGATCGTCCTTCGAGGACAAGAAGGTACGGAAAAAGGAGCAGAACAAGAACGCGGCCACGCGTTACAGGCAGAAGAAGAAGCAGGAGATTCAGGAGATACAAGGCGAAGAGCGCGAACTGATGGAGCACAACGAGAAGCTAAAAGAGAAAGTGAAGGATTTGCAGCAGCAGATTGGATATCTGAAGGGATTTATGAGGGAGGTGTTCAAAGCTAAGGGTTTTCTTAAATAATCCATTCGTCCAGGAACCTTCGCCGCTATTAACATTATTGTTAATTTTAGCTATCCTGATTTATGATCTATTAGATTTTATTTTTTAGACGTTCACCTTTCTTTTCTGTCACTAACCATTTTACAATTGTATCGTACTAATATTTACAGCAATTCACACGTTATCTATCTGTTTGTAATTTTTTTTTTCTTAACAAGTATTTGTCAGTATGTATTTTACATATATAGGTATACGTATACATAACAACTTGTACGCAGCATTTTAAAGAATTTATGAATTAAAGTCTACAGATTTTAAGAATGAAATGTACATCCTAATCACCTAGAGAACGGGGGTCTGTCAACATCGGTAAGCACGGTACGTTAGATGACGCGCGCAAATTGTCGAGTGTGCACGTGAAGCTCTTACGAGCGGAGTCTTGCTCGCTCGTGCGCATTCCACCAGTCACTTATCGCACCCTCTCTCGAATGCGAATCTTTTCATTCCGATTAATTTTTACCCTTTATCACTTTAGTTATACTTTCATACGACGAATTATGTAGCAAATAATAAATGGCTTCAAACAACGTGCATTAATGTTGTTTTCTCACTAGAGATCTGTGCTTGCACAGACCGATGACCCTTCCCATCCGTCCGATTAAAACTCGGGGGGGGGGGGGGGAATTCTGTTCTATTAATACTCTAAACCAGAAATAGCCAAATGGCGACCGATAATTTAAATTTATACCGTATTGTGCGATGTGCTTTGCGTTTGTTTGCATGAATTTTAAATGTATGTTTTCCAAATTGAGACTTGGTAAAAATCGCAAATTATGTTCTTAAAACTCACATTATTGGATGTATATTTCTTAATTTTTTAAAGCCAATATTAATCAACTCGTATTCTTAAAGTCGTCAGCTATAATTAATAAATTAATAACATCGGTGATTTTTAGTTGACTGTATCTGGTAATTAAAATTCTTATTGCGAAAAATATTACCCCAGCCAGGATACCAATATTAATCCTTCAAAGCACACACGATGGATCAGAGTTGATGTACTTTTTGTAAAAACATTTTTCTCTTCCATCTCTGAAATTTTATACTCGCCGATACTTTCAGAATCGCTGATTCCGAGTCTAATAAAAATTTTGCATTTTCAATGCTCCATGCCGCCATTTAAATTTTGAAAATTTACATAATCTGACCGCAATTAATGGCCTTAAAACTCCTCGTGTACCAAGTTTCAAGGAATTTGTAAAAAAAAATGTGTGCTTCAAACAGTCAATATAACGCCTCTGACCCTCAGTTAAAGTTCTTTATCTCATTCTGACTCGGTTCAGCTAATTAATTTCAACATTACTGTTCTTAACTATTGACATATTTATCTAGAGTGAAAAACATCTAAATCCTTTCGGCATGTATGCACATCGATTCTTTGTTCTCTGCAATAAAGGAAAATGCCCATGACGCAAAAAATTATGCGGTACAATAAACAAGAGCTGTATTTGTTGCCAGACTTGGCTCGCGGATAAATAACTTGGCAAAATGAAATTTAAGACGTCTCCTTAAAAAAAAAGAATATTTACGATATTTTATTATCGAAAGCTCGAGCTGAGAATCAGATAACTTCTATAGATGAATTTAACGTCGAGAAATGAGCATCGAGTTTCTCGGATGCAGTGATTATACATTTACATTGTGACACTATCTGATAAAGCAGGCTCAATTATATGTATACGGTGTACAGTTCTAGGTGGGGAGAGTGTCATCGGCTGATATCCCCCTCGCTCGAAGACCGCAATTGGTTTTCTTCGCTCAACTGACGCGTTTTACTTTCTTGCCGTCTGTTATTTACAAATTTCTCTTTTCAACCGCGCTTTCTGTACCTCCTCTCCCTCTCGCTTAATTTTAACATTAAAAAGAATGGCAAAAGAGAATCAACGACCGTAATACCTAAAGAACCCCGCACTAATATAGGAAATTGGATCTCGGTTAAATTGGCTAGTTTTCACATATGTTGTAGCTTATGACCTACTGAACAAAAAATATAATGGGCTCAAACTTAAATAATGGCTAGTTACTGAGCTACAGCCAGTCAAACATGGAAAATTTGGGCTCCGCGGGTCCTGTTTGGAAATACTTTGAAGCATATTAGGAAAAAATGTTTCAGACAAAAGTTGTTTGGTTCGAAATAAGACTATATTTCATTATATAGTGTCTTTGAAAAACTCTTGACATAAAAATGTGCAATGAAAAATGGGGGTGTCTATTTAAGAAATTGAAATTTACCTTCATGTGATTATCCAAGGTTAAATTAATGGCATCGTCTTATGTCTCCCTAATATGCTTCAAAGTATTTCCAAACAAGACCCGCGGAGCCCAAATTTTCTATGTTTGACTGGCTGTAGCCCAGTAACTAGTCATTATTTAAGTTTGAGCCCATTACATTTTTTGTTCAGCAGGTCATAAGCTACAACATATGTGAAAACTAGCCAATTTAACCGAGATCCAATTTCCTATATGATCAGCGCGGAGTTCTTTATACATTTCCACTTTTTTCTGCTAAATTTGCACCTGATGCATCCCCGATGCAACGAGGATGTTTTTGACTTCTCTCGGCGAAGCACCCGAGAGAAGATTTCCTCGTGGACCGTGCTCTCGCCGGCCCTGTACAAATATCGTCCCAGTGGGGGAAAGTAGAAACGACAAGAGTTGGGTAGATTCCTTCCCTCCTCGGACCCGCTGGCCCAACAGGCCCGTTAAATTAACGGGACAGCATTTAAAGCGCGTTCGTGACATTACCACCGATGCAAAAATACAGCTCGCAAAAAGAAAGCGACTAAGGCCGGCAGGAGCGGCGGGAAGGGGGAACATTTTCAGATTATAGCCGCCAAACAAACAGAGCTGGGCGCCCCTTTTTTTATTAGTTGAAATCTCCCGCACGCTAGACGCGAGTCGCAGAAATAATTTATGCCGCATTTCTCGGTTCTGACGTCATCGATATCGATTGGCCGACCTTGGGCAATTTCTTTCTCTATTTTGTACGAGATGCTGTACACACGTATACAACTCATTAATATTTAACGAATTGTTTTTTTTCTCTTGTCGCACGCGCGCGAAAGGTCCGAGGCGAATTTTCGGAGCTCGCGGCTTGCGAGTCGCAAATCGCCGTCGCCGATATCGAGAAATCCGAGAACGGAGAAACGGCCGGACGCGGAAAAAGTATAATTGTCCAGAGAACACTAACGTTAAACAAACGCAGAGCGTACAGTGGTTACTCCTAGTTCATTGTAATCTTTATTTTTCTTTTTTTAACACACGAGTGCGCGCACACACTCAAATGCATAATTGATGCGCACGCGCACGCGTGTACATTCTCCTCCTTTTTATATTTACATACGATATTAATAATACAACAAATGAGATATTTCAACAGTTCTGACGTAAAATAACGAAAGGTTGGCTACACCGAAACTTATCAGATAACGCAATCGTTTCGCCAAACTCCCCGTGTTACTTGCGAGAAATGCACTTTTGTCCAAAGCGCAATATCTCTTAAGCGTCCACATTTTACTATATATACAAAATACCACATATATTTATTACGTAATCACATATATGTATACATATATATTTTTGTCTGTCGCTTCCTTGATATATTCGTATAGTTTATTATTTGCGATGAAAATCTGCTTTTACTTTTTTCCTGGAGATGTAACACGTAACTATTGTCCAAAGTTGATTATTTATATCCGTGATCTTCAATAGTCTAAATTTCATTTATAATAGGTGATTATTATGAATGTAATTAACACGTTTTCGGTGCGAATTCACCTAATCGCGGATTCCGAGCCTCCTGGAAGGTAACTCTCTGCAGAGTCTCGCAATCACATGGCACATATTGATTTATAGATTCTTAATGTCAAACGTTAACCGCACGGCTCATACTCGGATCGATAACGATAACGTGTTAAATACATATTAACAACAACGTTCTCTCGATTTTCAATGATAAAATGCACGTGATCGTGTGAGATAGATCTTTTTATATTATAATAGCTATTTTTACTCGCTACGCTTTTATACTCCTTTCTAAATTAATGTACATGTAATATACATGCGATTAAATCACCAAAGTAAACGTGAAAGCACCCACAAATTAAGATAACAGGAGAATAGAATATTGTGCAATCCTAATACTTCACATGATCAAGATTCGTTTCACTATAAAAATGTAGATCTGAGCCTTGCACGGTAGTTCGATGCAGGCACACATATAGATATACACACACTGTATATACGTTAAAATATGTATTATAATTTGAATATATAATTTAGCTGTAATACAATCTGAGGATCGGAGGAAAATGAAATGATTATCGGCGTCTCGTATCGTCACTTTACAAGGGCAAGAAAAAATAATCTACCGTCCTGATTGATAGAAATCAACAAAAGCGCAATAATAATGTTACAGCACAAATGTTTTCACGACATGCATGCTTTATGCGGCAGTACAATAAATCTGATAGTCCCGACATGTGTATATAAATAAATTCCTGGAATGTTCCTGTATAAGAATTGGTTATGAGTATTTGTAAATTATTAGACTTGTCTGAATCACATAGTTAATTACGAGTCATCGTAACGATTATCCTTTTTATAAAATTAATCGTCATATAAAACTTAGTCGAGTGACTGTATAAAATTAAAACATATATCAGAACAAATATATTATAACTATACAAACTGCAACATCTCTTACTCTGTCCAAACAACGTCTAAGTAAAAACATAAATATTAATCACAATATGCTCCGTCTCTCTCCTCTTGACTGAGATATGCATTCCGCCCTTTTACATTACACGTCCTCGGGTGAGGCGCAAAAAATAATATAAAACGTAAACTTAACAAAATGCAATGTATATCTATATAAGTTGCCAATTATATCATCTCCCATGTGTGGAAGCCTAGGGAAAAGTGCTTATACTTTAGCTCAAAGAAGTAATTAAGCGAGAATCTATTGAAAGGTTTTTCGGAAGGTCCTATGTTGTCGTGTCGCCTTCCTCTTGTTCGAGTCTGGAAGAGCCGCAGACGCGGCATTTACAGCATACGATGCAAGGTGCCGCTAATAACAGCAAGGGCGATGCGACAAGCAGAAGTAGGCCAAAACCGGCGAAGATTCCGATAACTTGCGTTCGATGCCATATCACGGACGCACGTGAGTGGCCCAATTTATTCTTACATGGTCCCTTGTCGTAATGTCGCAACAGAAAGTCATCCTAAGCACCAACAATTTCAAAATTAATTCACATCGCTCGCGGCGGCATTCTCATATTTTTACCGCCTCGGATACTCACGTCTAACGACGCTAAGCAGTACCAGCAAAACACGTGTTTACATCTCTTGCACATCATTTGAGCACAACCTTCGTCCTTCTCTATCGGCACGGAACACATGGGACAGCATTTTATGTGATCGCTACCGAATGGTATTCCTAATGGAAGATCTGAGCAGGGCCCGTTGTGCCAAGGCTCGCGACATATTGAACAGAAATCCGTGGAGCAGTTGGGACAGTGAACAGGACCTAGAGGGGTGCCGCTCCCACTGTTGCCGTTTATCGAACATATCGTTTCACAACCCGCCCGTGGACACCACGCGCGTCCCTTGTCCATCGATACATCTGTACACACAAATTACATGCAGATTGGCATCCGAGTGTTCGGCGCCGTCGAAACTGTCGACTGCGCGCAACTGAACCGGCGGGGAATCCCGGTATCGCTTACCTCTATTTAAACGAAACTTGCAATGCTTCTCCACGAGTTCCGTGCTGACGAGGCTGGATATCTCTTTCAAGGAAAGCACGGCGCCGTGATCGCACTGAGCATCGGGACAACTAATCTCGTACGCGCCCTCCTCGATCTCAAATTCTACGTAGGCACGCATACACTGAAAATCATTACAAGACATAATCATAAGTATCTCTCTCTCTCTGTCTAATGCAGCGTCCACAGTAAGACTTTTAAAATGTAAGATTCAAGAAAACGACCTATCAAACGCGAGAAGAACAATCGACCGTCGTCTTCTTAAACCTTTCACCTTAAAGACCTCATTGTAGACGCCGCGTCACGTACACCTTCCCCGGTGACAAGACTTAGTCCAAGAGCTTACATCTCTACAGTAGGAACAACCGCAGCCCTCGATCTTAAACGTTTTGGAGAGGGAGGTGTCGACGAGACACAGCTTACAAAATATCCGCCCGATCGTCTGCTGCGAGGCCGCGGGTACGAAGTTGCCGGCGGCCAGGCTGTAACGCGAGCTGGATGCTAGGGACAGCAGGCTGGAGCAGCGGGAGCAGACCCTGCTGCGATTGATGGGCCTGCCCTCGAGGGCCGAGGTGCTCAGCCCCACGGCGGTCTCACACTTCCTCAGCGCACCCGGGCCGAGGTTCATCCAGCTGCCGCCGCCGCCGCCGCGCACCTCCAGGCTCGCGCTGCTCTCGGGGCGCAGGAGCGGCGCGTCCGCCTCCCTGCCCGGCTCGTTCCTCTCCGTCAGGGAGAGGTTCACCGCACTGGCCTCCTTGCGTATCAGGGGCAGCCTGATGCCGCTCAGCCGGGCCTTCTCAATCTTCTTCTGGCCGCCGGCGGTGATCTTGCCGGGGGGATTGACGGACGTGACCGAGCTGGTTGCGGCGCCCATGTCCACGAGGGGCGCCCGTCGCAGGACGAGCGAGTGTAGGCTGGGCATCCCCTGGACGTCGCCGTCAGTTACGGGCGACGGGGAGGACTGCGCTCGCCGATCCTCCGCTGGCGGGGTGTTCCCTCCCGCGCCCGTCGTCGTCGTTCGCTCGCCGCTGACAGTAAGGGAACGCATGAACCCGAATAATCATATGTACATCGCAAACTCGCACGGTTCACCCCGGTGTGGCTGCGCGATGGACGTCGGCGGACTCTCGCGCCGCTCGTCATAATCCCCGGTCGTTCGTACGAGCCGTCACCTCCTGCACGTGCCCTAAGCCTCCGAAACGGCGCCGCGGCACCACCTCGTCATCGTCCCCACCCCCCCCAGAGTGTCGTAACGACCGTCGCGAGCACCTGTATACCGTTTCACGTTACGTTTAGTAGCTCGAGCTTTTCCGCTGAGCCCGCGGGACGGGCATGTCCGACCGCTGGACACCGCGACACGTACGGAACACCCACAACAGCTGATCGTCCTCGGCGCTTCAAGCCAGAAAGAGAAGGAGAACGCGCGCGCGCGCGCGCGCAAGTGACCGTCGGCGCGGAGCGCGAGCGAGCCGGAGTAACCGCGACGCGCGGACACCTCAGCGATGACGGATGTCGCCGCGGCGGTGGTGGTGGTCGTCGTCGACGTCGTCGTCGTAACCCGCGATGCTGCGCTTCCCTACACCGCCTACGGTCGCTGATGATTGCCGCACGGCCGAGTCTGACTCGTCGTCGTCGTCGTCATCGTCGTCGTCGTCGTCGCCGTCGCCGCCGTCGTCATCGTCGTCGCTTTCACTATGTGTTTCTCCGCGAGAGACGCGTCCCACTCCGTCGCGTCGCGGTCCTCATCAATGTTCTCACCTTCGCTGCAGCGTATACGCTACTGTGCGCGGCACACGCACGGACACACGGAAGCGATGCGCGCGCGCTCGGCGCAGCGCGCCGCGCGTTCATAAATCATCCGAGTTGCGACGACACTTCCGCCCCCGCTTCCTCAACCGTTAAGCCTATCACACAATGGCTACGTTCGGCAGAAAAAGCTGCTTTGCAACTGTTGTAAAATTCATGAATCTGATTGACGTATGCTCTTAAATTCACACAAGATTGAGAGAACACACCAATCAGATTCACGAATTTTGCAACAGTTGCAAAGCAGCTTTTCCTGCCGAACACAGCCAATGCCAGGCAACAGGCAACAGGAACAGCTGGGAACAGAATTTCTGACGTGTTGGATTGGTTGGACGAAAATTTTCGACGAATCTAACGCGTCAAAAATTCTATTCCCTATTCCTATTGCCTGTTGCCTGGTATTGTGTGATAGGCTTTAGGCTGAAATCACATGCCCACTCGCTCTTTTGTTTCACGTTCGCGCCAATCCGTACTGCGCATCCGACATGTTTTAGTTATGACCAATCACAGGATTTTTGTACGTGTGTTAGTGCAAAGTCGGTGTGACATTGAAAAATTTGCAGTGTTGACGAATAACGCGTTAATACTTTTATACGTTGGAGCATGTAATTACATTAATTACTTTTATTAGAACATTTTTTTCATAGGCCATTTCCATTTACAATAAATAATGTACGCTAGTTCGTATGCGCCTTTCCTGGATACGATCCTGAAAAGGACCCAGGCACTTTTAGCCGTTGATACACTGTTGGGGCGATTAAAAACATGGCGGAAAATTGAGAACGTCCCATAGAACTTATAAACATGGAAGGGGAATAGCATATACTTTCCGTGAGTTGAAACTGTATCCAACATCTGTATGACTTTGGTCCGTTATGCGCATGCGTTAAATCGTTGCGCATGCGTTATTGTAATCTCGTTTTAGCCGCGCATGCGTTATTGTAATTTCGTTTTAGCTGCGCATGCGTTATTGTAATCTCGTTTTGGCCGCGCATGCGTATTTCAAGGAAAAGTCATAGAACGAGACAGAATTCTAGTTTCTTCTGTCTCACTTCTTGGCTACACTTGTGCCGATCCGTTTCCCCTTCCATGTTTATAAGTTCTATGGAACGCCCAGATCAAAGGTGCCGACAGAGAGTGGGCATACTGGTTACACA